GAATGGGTAGTAATGATGTGGGTGAGAGCCAATCAGTGCGTTCGGTGCCAATCAGCCAATGACCTGCAGCCTCACAACTCGCTGTTGATTGGTGGAAAGGCACCGGAAGAAGTGATTCTAATGTGGCCTTCCATCCGACAGCTGGGTCACCTCCTCACTCCCACCTATCCCACACGAATGACCTCCATCCAACACACCTCACTGTTACGATGCTTGATGGAAAGGCTTTTGGGAGGGATCGGGACTAACTTATCCACCACGTGCATTCATATCTTGCTATGATACAAATGACACCGGTAAACCTGGCTACTGTAGACAAGGTGTGCGTATCCCAGAACTCGCGGCAATCAATGTTGACCGTTGAGTGGGTTGGAGTTGCATGAGATTGCATCAACAGCGCCTTCTGGTTTACCAAGTCCACACATCAACCCACCCTGTACACGTGAATGCACTTGATTGCACGCAGTTTGAGCTACTTTACTTTTGAAGGTAGTCAAGTGAGGCGTCAACCGGCCGATTGTTGGAATGACCGGCTGCATCCGTAGTGGGGTTGTCACTTTCCTACATTACACCTAGTAAATTTTGTCCAACTGGGCACTCGTGTAACACCACTGGTCCGGTACCTTTAAGGCAAGTAGGAGTATTTTTTAATACAAACTTTTTAACATGTGTATACCCACGGCAATAATTTTATGGAATTTGTAACTAATGTAATTTTGATAGCCTCCTCACACAGTGCCTACGCCTCAGCCTAGGCTTAATATCAAAAAATTATATCTTGTATCTATATTTTGCTTCATCTGACTGTTGAACTCGACTATCCATGCCTATCCACATGTGTTTAGGAGGAGTTAAAACAAATTTGAATCGCGCTTATTCACCACTTATTGATGGCCAAAGTACACTACTAATAGTGTCAAATAAATAGCGAGTCTTGACTCTCATTCATGACTCCTAAATAAAAAAGGAAACATGAAGCATTGAGAAGGACTTTGCATTTGCTCACTCGCTCTCTGTACTTCTACTTAGTGACCTCGATCTCATACCACATGTCACCCCATCGCCGCATCTTGTTGGCGTGAGTGAACCCGTTAGGCATTGATACCGTAGAAACCTCTCTCGGCCTTAGCAGCCATCGGTGGTGTGAATAAAGCACCTCATAAAGTGGCGATGGACGTTGGTCTCGATTTACATTTAAACGGTATGTTGTTGACATGGGCTCTCACTTTTAACCACATGGAAGTCTGATGTCGGCTTCAAATGACTACTTTACAAGACCTTCTCTGCTTTTCCCTGCAAAACCAATTTTTTATTCTTTAGAAATACTGCCATGTGTGTGTGTGGATTTCCGAATAGCTTGAAAACTGGTGGCACAAATCTTGTGTAACTCTTCGCTCCCACCTATTCAAAGTGTGTATATACACACCTGCTTTAATGGAATCATCACACACTCAATGCCCATCGCTTCAGTGCCAACTACCCCTTATATTTCCTCTTTTATCTTTACAAGTTGCCACCCATTCAGTGCCTGAGAGAGCCCCCAATAAATACGTTTCTTGTACCACTGAACATTGGAGCTTTGATCTGCTTTCCAATTCACCTTGTCGACACTGTCGTCCTGAGTCAATGTTCAGACGCCACCCACGAGGGTGTGCATATGGAATGAGAGTTAACTCACCGACTTGTTGTAATTGTAAACAGATGCAAGGCATTTATTCGACGTGAAGCATATAATGGGGTTATTATTTGACGTGGGGGCAGAATTGAAAACAACGGAGGTTGTATGTTACGGAGTGTCCCGAGAGATCAACTCGAATTTGTACACGTCGTCAACATCAAGATTTAAGTACTTGCAGACAATCGTTACTGACAAGTTCATCTTCTTGATAGCAGGAAAGGCAACGGCAACCAAAGGCGACTGGAAGTCCGCTTGGTTGAGGTAAGGAAACACAACTGTTGAGAAGTATCCTCTAAAATAAGAGATGCGTCAAGCAAGAGGTGAAAATCAGGAAGTAGGTGACGTGAATCCGTTTAATTCCGTTTGCTTACACGTTACGGTTTTCGTAAGGAGCGTCGGGAAAGTAGTAAATCTCACCCAAATCACGGCTCTTTGCTTCGTCCTTAAACAACCAATGCATAATTTGAAGAAAGGACGATAAATGATAAATCGGAAGGGAAACCTACGGTGGCATGGCAGGAGACGAAGATCATACTATCGTTTACATCAGGTAGGTAGCCAAAGATCTAAATAAGAAGATGATCAGTGTGGGGCTATATCACCTAATTACTTTGTTCATTTTCAGGTATACACAAAAATCCATGTTATGGTGTGGAATAGGGTTGCATGGTCCCAAAAATTGAAGCGGAAAGCGACATGACTGAGAGATATTCTCCCAGGGACGCATCCCTGTGAAGAAATTACAGCCAGTATTTAAAGGCACTGTCTTATAGGCTGACAAATAATTCCGCATAAACTCAACGTATTTAGCTTTGTGGTTGACGTCGTAGACGGGGATGTGTGTAAGCTTCCCTGTAGCATCACCAGGTGGTAAAAATGCGAGTCCTAAAAGTCATAATAACCCTCAAGGAAACCGCGTCCTATTACAAATAAAGAAGATAACGGCAGTTTAAAGTTTTTAAGTAAAATATGCTACATGAACGAAGCAATTACAATGAAAATATAGACGGCATTGCTATCTCTGCAATCCGCGAGCTCACACGACAATAACAAAATATGGAGCAGTAAAATGAATTAATAGTGTGTCACTCACCTGGATTAAGACCAAGCAAACTTTGTCTGCCTATGAGGGACGGAACTTTCTCGTCGATCACAACATTAGTGACGAAAAGAATTAGACTTGTCGTAAGTCCAAAAAGGCAAGCATAAAAGAGAATGTAATATGTAAATATTTTAGCTAAAATTGACTCTTTCGAAAAAAAAGGTTACCCCAGCTTGAATGTGTTCTATTTAAAAAAGTTTTATTCTCAGTATTGAGGATAAAAAGGCCCAGGTGTCGTAGCCAGTTGGTGAATGCTAACTTAATTTCTGCAATATTCCTCATCACAAGCACTAGTACATCCAAGATCTGCGACAGTCAAGGCCTTACCCACAAGCAATACCTTATTGACATAAACAAATCAAGGTTAGATAAATTGTCAGACAAAACGTTTTAGTTACTCACAGAAAGCTTGCAACATTAGCAAAAAGCATTTTTTTATTACAAAGACTTAAGCTTTGTTTTTTACTACTACGCAGGTATACACAAATATATACCTTCCCTGTAGTTTTCCTTTTTAAAATTTACAGTTCATTTAATCAAACAAAAGCCTAATGCGATACAAATTTATGTGCTTAATTAATTGCATTTTGGTATTTAGTAAGCACTTGTAGATGGTACTTATACCACCAAATTCTACGACTATTTAACCAACCTCAAATTGAGGTCGATTTATAGGAAGTAATCTCTTGAATCGTTGCTGGACATCCTCCGGCAAAAGTGTTGTTGGGATATGCAAATCTTATCTAAAGTAATTTTGCACAGATTGTGTGTTTAGTTGATTTTCATCCCATAATACGTGCCAATGAGCATCGTCACAAAGTGTCCCACGTGTTAATTATACGTTAGCATGATAAAAATGGTCAATGGATCAAAATGACTGTAGCGTCCCGAGGCTTCCCGAGGAGCCTGAGCCTGTCCCAAAGGCCAGCCTACGTTTACAGAGGCCAGACAAATGGCATCTCTACGTAAAAATGCCTCAGTCCATTGTTCTGAGAAACTCGATTAATGGGACGTATCAACTTAAAAGGAGGTGGATAAGGTAAGGATACTAAAGCTGTAAATCTAGGGGGGAACAGTAAAGGAATTTGGACTGTAGTTTCAGAGGATCTACCGAAATCTTGGAATCAAATTAATGGTAATGTTATAGCATGCTGCCAAAACCACTGTTCTGCCCATGTCAAGTACTACTACTACTTGTACGACCACAACCACCACCACTCTGTAATCGGTCAGCCAAAGAAATTGTAATGCTTCGTTTATGTGGCTACCTGAAGTTTGGCGGTCGCCTTAGGATTTGTCTGGCCCTTGTACTCGTGGGCTGGCCTTCAGGCCATGCTCAGGCCCATTTGCTCAGTTCTCTTCGGAATACATGTAGCCAGCTTCACTTACTGCCTTCTTCCACTCTGCTCGTGTGAGGACGGATTGGTCTTTGAGACAGGCCGAACCTTAATACCTTTCTTCTCCTACGTTGCGAGGTCTCGGGAAGCTACGCTGTTCACAGAGGTGAGTACTCCACGGCGCTGCTACCAGCGTAATGTCCCTCACCTCGCACACTAGAGCCTTCATACCAATCTTCATGGGAAGGATATCGTTCACAGTTTTTCCATTTGGCACTTATAAAAAGCTACAGACAGATCCGCTTCCACGCTAGTTATCACAATAGTCCTGTCACTTCATCAAAGAATAATTTGAAAGTCAGAACGTATTGCGACGACAACCATACAACTGCTGACAATACTTTATCTTCCCGAGACCTCTCGTTCAGTGGGAGAAAGTATTGTTCAGGCAGAAAGATTGGAAGTGAGGCCACGGCCTGGCCCCAAGTTCAGTCCAAACAGCATGAACAAGGTGGCTGTCAAAGTGACCGCTACTCATACAGGTGATCAACTAAACCAAGTATTACGAACACCATGAGAACTGTGCAGACTACTGTTTGGACTGTTTTGAAAAAATTTGGCTGATGATTGACACTGAGAGCAATCTTTAAGGACGACTTTTGCAAAGTTTACAGCATAACTGTTGCTAGTAACGACTACTTGCCTGCAATTATGAGGAATGATCAAGTGCCTTAAGGGACTGTTGACACTATTCAATGCCTACAGGAGTAGCAAGCACGTTGACGAAATTTATTTGATAATGAAAGAATGTTTTCAGCCTCAGTTAATGCTATCTTCTATCAAATGCGAAGTCTCAAGCTCCTATGTCGGTGACAGCTGAAGACGAATTCGTCCTCGTCATAACTTCTAGCCTATCGTTTGCGACATAATCCCTTCTCGGTTCGATTAAAGCGCACATACTTCAGGTAGAGAAAGCTTTCGGTTCTTTGCAGCAGAAGATTTGGGAATGACAGTTGTGTTGGATTCTGTCCCATTCCCGTGCCTCGCGAGCATTTTATTGACAAACGAACTGACATCGCCACGAATCATCTGGAGAAGTTTCGTATTGCAGTTTTCCTTACTGTAAGCAAATATAAATGTCGGAAATAACACTACGCCGAATGTACTACTATACGGGAATTTTTCGATCCTCTTACCCTTGTTAAGCGTCTGTCTACGACCATTGCTCAAACTTACACTTCTACGGCTAAATGACTAACATATGTATGCGTCCTGATTCCTGTCCTAAGACCGAATGCAACTGCAGATAAACTAGAAGCTTCTTAAGGGGCGACGCATCTTCCCTCAAATTAATAGGGCTGATAGCACATAGGTGTTTGTTTACAGCACTGGATATGCTATGATTGTAACGCTTTGTTTATGCGACCGCCTGAAGTTGGACTATCACTTTAGGATAAACTTGGCTTTTGTACTCGTGAGCTGGCCTTCGAGCCATGTTCATGCCCATTTACTCTGATCTCTTCGGAATGTCTGTATCCAGTCTCGCATATTGCCTTCTCCCACCCTATGCGAAGTCTCAGGACGCTACAGTGGTGCCCGGTGTTAAAGGTATAGTGAAAATAAAACCGAAGACGTCTTCCATATAAGTAGAAGGAAACTGCATTATCTTGGTTATTTGAACGCGTGTGACAGGTGGCTACTTCTGTAGCCTCCTTAGACTTCCCACCTGATGGGAGGCAGTAAGTTAAGCTGAATACATGTATTCCAAAGAGAACAAAGCGACTAGACCTGAGCATAGCTCAAAGGCTAGTCCACATGTACGAGGTCCAGAAAGATACTAAATTAATCTTCAAACGTCATATAAGCAGAACATTAAAAATTTCAGCATTTGTCTTGCTCTTATGTATATGGACTGGCCTTCAAATCCGTCCTTTTTTTCCCATACGTGTGTAATTGGCACTAATGAATCCATTTCTTAATCTGATTAGAGGTCATAGGATGCTATAAACACAATCTTTTCTGTGCGTTGGGTATTTTGGAAATGGCATCGCATAATATAAGCATAGATATCCTAACAAAAGTTGAGATTCTGCTGAAGAACTTATAAAACACTTGCATGTAATCCAAAACTCCATTTCAGGATATACACAGCAGGGTATATTTTGCTTAGAATGTGGTTTACACTTCGAATTGCATTACCCATACAATGCTTACCTACTGTTATGGGCCTTGTCCTAAGTCATCTGTATTCTATTTGTCACCAAATTTCTTTGTTATAATACAGTCAAGCTCTTTACTTCAGAATTGTTTCAAGGTGAGATCTTTGTTTGTATTATTCAAATAATGGAACTTTAAGTATTTAGAGGTGTGTGCGCGGGGTTTCGTAGCTGTGGGCTTGAGAGGTCCTTTCCCAGGTTGCGTGCGCTTGTGTGAGCTGCCTTATAACCAGAAATGGACTCCGATTCTTCAGCTGAGAATCAAAAGCGGCATGCAGATGTTGACAGCTTTGAACCAGTTCTCTTCAAGAAGCGGTGGCTAATGTTGATTTTATTCTCTACTGTATCAATGTTAAATGCATTTCAGTGGTTACACATTAATATTGTGATCCCAAGTGCCATTTTTTTCTGGAACAGTTCATTGCCAAGTAAATACTTTGGAAAATCATTGTAATTTATATATCGTACATTTTATATTTGTTTACGCTGCTGTGATATTGTGATTGTGGTTTACTGGATATATTTGCACACCACACTCATTATAATGCATTAATAATTCTTACGTTTTTCTTGCTATGCGGAGATGCATTTTGTGTTGTTGGCAACTGCAACTTATTTTGGTATTCTGCTCTTAAATTTAAATAGCTAAGAAACCACTTAATGACCCAACCTTCTTACTTGTAGTAGATCATTTACTAATTATGCCTGCCTGATAAGAAATTCAATATGTGAAATTGATAGCCTCGTTTTTATGTTAGACAGAATTCTTCTTAGTTTATTTCACAGTTCATTTCTCATAATAGTGAAAATGCCACCTACTTCTTTTCTCTTATTATGTGTGCTTGTTTACAAGCTAGACAATTTGGCATTACGTAGGTGATCAGCAGGGTAAGGATGTGGCTATCGCCTGGCTGTCAATGCTCTACATGCTAGTCTACATTCCGATGATAGTCCCAGCCACCTGGTTACTCAACCATTACGGTCTTCGTGTGAGCATTCTGATCGGAGCGACGCTGAACGTTCTGGGTGCATGGATCAAATGCCTTTCCATGGAGCTGTCACAGCCTGTCCCCTCTCCTGCTTCCAACGCTTCCTTTCCCCTCCTAATGGTGGCCCAGCTCGTGTGCGCATTGGGCCAAGTCTTCCTCCTTGGTGTTCCAGCCCAACTCGCTGCCACGTGGTTCAGCAAAACAGAACTCGCAATGGCTACTGCTATCGGCGTTTTTGGCAACCAAGTTAGTAGATTATCCTGTTGTCTTTGGATCTATGATGAAGTCTCCAAAACAATTTTGGAGAAACTGTAAAGTGTTGTCTCAGTCAACTATGCTCCTCACCACCTCCATTGGCTGGCTGCCTTCTAAATTGGCTATCACTTTTGAGAAACTTTTATTTAGTTTACAAGCGCATTTATTTATAAAGGTCCATCAGTATTTTTGGTGACTATAGTGACATCCCATTCCTTGCATTTTCATCCCTAGTCCTGATGTGGTTTGTCAACGGTTTTGAGAAGGAATGGATTATTTCATCGCTAAATATTTAAATGTATTTTGAAACTTACCGAAGTACTTTCTTGTTCTGGGCTTCTACTCAATCTTGCTTCTTTTCAAATGCTGTGTGTGATACATCAAAATTTTGTCCTGACTCAACGAACCCTCTTTATTCAGCCGTCCTTTGGAGGACTGGCTTTGCTCCGAGCTGTTGTCATTTTCTACCACCGTGATAGAACCCCAAGTAAACGAAGAATGCCTTAAAGATCAGCTGGCATCAACCACGGTCCAGATGCCAAGTGTTTGGACGGCATAACCGTTTGTTGTGATTGGTGGTCGACGAAGTTTTAAACACTACTTTCCGCTCCTCTTCCTCAATTTTACTTGTACAGTGGTTTGTTAGGAGGCCTTTAAGTTTGCACTAGCCATCAGCAGATGTACTTCACTCTTTGTAGACACGTCAACTGAGCTTTCTAAGTCATGCTTCATTCTGGTCCCTCTTTTTCCCTCACCACATTGGAGGCCCATTGTGTCTCCCATTTAATTCATTTGACTCTATTGTATGTCCTTAGTGCAACTTTAAAAACAATGCTTGTAGTAGAAAGTCAGGACTTTGGCACCGATGTGCAGACAACCGAAAACACTGCAATCGAATGTGATGCATTTACGAGTACCATGTGTTTGGGAAGTTGACTAGCTCTTAGCGGAGAGAGGTGGGTTGATGACACTTTTGTCAGACATGTTGAATGCTTTAGCACCATTTTTGGACAACTTTTGCCATCGGCAGCCGTGTATTATGAAGTAGACAATGGCAGCACATGACGTTACTCGTTTCTGGTACTGGAAACTTACGTTCTGCAATGCTCTTTTGTCATTCTGACACTTTCTACAGATTTGTGGCCACCTTCTCACGGAGTAAACACCACCTCACAATCTCAGTGGCTGCTAAGGCGACGATACACTTCATTGTAGAAACATAAAAGTCATTGTCTTCAAAAGTTGAAGTGGACGGAGTCCCACTTTTGGCCTAATCGTCCTCTCCACTGTACTGAGAGGCGAGTTTTAGGTTTTACTCGAGAGTAAAGCGACAAACGCCTCTAGAAACAACTGGAAAACGAAATAAAAAAAATTGAATCATAAATGCGGTGTAATTGAGTGTGAGTCACAAAAATTCAACTTCTTGCATGGAATTGCGGAGGAATGCGTTTCCTCTACGAGGATCGTATCCCCCCATCATTCTTCGCATTATTATCAGGAATGACAACCTGACTGGCATTAGAGCTCACCTCGAGGTGTCACTTCATTTCCCACCTTCTGTCAGCAGACCAAGCAAATTTCACTTTGCTTGGTAGTTGTCTTTGTTACTGTCACATTTGCGACACCCTCATTCAATGGACTTGCTTTGATGATGGCAGGGTGGAGCAGCGGTAAGGTTTGATGCTTGCACAAATTCACACACCACCAAAGACGAGCCCCTTAGCAAAAAGCTGTTTAAGTTGCCTAGTTGCTGGGTGCCTCTCGTCTCAGCGCTGTGTGGCGCACCACTTTTCCTCCCACCGTCAATCGCTGCACTCGTTGAAAGATACTTCTTACTCACGAGCAAGAAGTAAGTCATTTGAATGGTGTAGGTGATGACACTTGTGATCGTTGCATCGCGTTGATTGTGGTGGAGGTACGAATTGAAGGCTGCTCTGAGGGTGCACGGATGTAGCAGCAAATTTCCAATCGTTTTGAAGTCTTACAAGTCCAGATTAGGTGTTCAACCTCCTCACTCGGAGAGTAAACTCATCAAGTAGATGCCAATCCTCAATTCTCTCTCCTCGACTTCGGTTGAGGTGGTTTGTTGGGCAGCTTTTCTTGAAAACTCTTTGGATCACTGCATCGTGCTTCATTCGTAGCCATTGTTGATACCTCCGATCACCTTTCAGCTTGGAAAGTAATCATTTACCACGTACTGAGCGATGCCATTTCTCCTTCTCCTTCTTCTTTGAGGTTGGCTGTGCACTGGGCTTCGGTCTACCGCCCCTGATGGTACCTGCTGTCACAAACTCTACTGGAGTGGCAGATTTTGAGGATTTTCGAAGAGGTTTTCGTATTATGCTCTACGGCGGGGCGGCAATCATGTCCATCGACCTCATTTTTGTGGCCATCTGTAAGTCAATCATTCCTTCGCGCAGATTTATTGCAACTTATTCTTGGCCATTCTCTCCACCATGTCCATAAACACAAGAGCTTAGACTTGACTCCCTTCAATTCAACCGTCTATCTAACGCGATTGATGTGCTGACAAGCGTTGATGGGTGCTTCGAAACTTGTCTTGCCCAACTGTGAGGATGGATGGATCTTGTGGATAAAATCAAGTATTCGTCCATCTGGGAGCTCTTCTCTACACCATCTCAGATCCACTTTAGTCCAACGAGACAAACTCATTGTTCGGTCTCCTTGACTGCTTACCACTCTTAGCTGATAATAAACACGCATTTGATGCAAATCTTGCCACGGCAAGGGGTTGTATTTCCACGCATCCACACCCAACACACACGTAAGTCCTCGCACGAGTCTGATTTTTGTGCTTTTTTGCCCTCATCAATTAGTTGCAAAAGATTTTGCCACAGTGACACTTCAGCCAGACTGCATCACGTTTTGCTGAATTGCCTTTGTGCGTGGAAAGAAAATGCTGATTCCACACCTTGGAGGGTGCGCCGACAGTGTCTACCAACATTCCACCAGCAACGTTTCCATATTTTTAGAGGTCTTGAAGGGACCTAAGCGTACCTCGTCACGAACCTCTTTTCCTGCCTTGACGTACAAAAGTGTTCGGCCTTTGAAAGGCTCTGACTTCGGTCATGACGATGACCAACACTGTGGGTTGCCATTTGTGATGGAGTTACACCTCCCGTTGCACAACCACTCCCACCATTTGGAAAGCATTGAATGGTTTCCACACTTCTCTCTGTCGTAGAGCTCACATCTTAATCAACTGGTCTGACACTTCTCGGAAACTGCGCAAAGACTGCAGAACTCGTTCCACTTTGAGAATGGCGCGATCTACTGGTGGTGGCTTTTGTCTCTCCTCTAAGTCCTGAAGACTGACGACGTACAATCGTGAACTCTCTGCTATGACTGTCGGTCCGGTTGAAATGTGTTGCTCTCCTCTTTTGCAATGCTAACATCGAAAGCTGCATTTGATACACCTTTTTTTTCTTTTTTTTTTGCAAAAGGACAAACGTCTCACTACTCCACACATTCCAACTGTCAACCTGACGCTCCTTCTATCTCTTCCTCTTGTTCACACCAAAATTATTAATTCCTTTTCTAGGACGGAGCAATTGCACGAATTATTTTATTCCACTTTTTAAACACCGTTTGGTTGAGTAGTTGAAAATGTTAAACATTTGCCTCATTTTCTTCCTCTCCCGCCTTCCTTCCTTCCTCTTCGCCCTCAGGGGAAAAGCAATTTTTTTGGCCATAGGAGGTGTCCAACCGTGACTACTTATTGCCTCCATTTATATATACATTTTTTTTTGAAATTTTGTTTGTTTTTTTTAAATGTGTGTCCCTCTTAATACCGTCCAAAAGGTGTGATTTGGTGGGATGAAAGAGGTTTGCAGTGTGACGTGCATTACCCGTTTAACCTCTCACCTAGAAGTGATGGGCAATGGCGATTCAGTCCACAGACGGACGTCTACAACTCCTCTTAGAATGTCCTTTTGACAATTTTTCAAATTAAGCTAAAATTTGTTGTTAACAGTTGCTCCTGTTAAAGGGACGTATGTGATGGTTCATTCATTTCAGTTCCTTCCAGCCATCTTGGCGTTGTGGAAGTCTTCCATCCCTCTCTTCATCCCACTCATCCTAGTTGAACGCATCGGTGGTGCCGTTCAACAGCAAGAAAGATGAAATTGTTGTGTGCCAATGTGGACTGGTGAAATGCAATTTCCCACATAGATAATTAAATTCAGGTGTTCACACTGTCACCTCGTCTCTTTTTTTGCAATCCAACTTTCCACTCCTCTAAAATCCACGCGGAAAATTAAGAGGCCTCAAACAGAATGCCATTAATGGCATTGGTGAAGTTGTCAGACAAACATGAAAAAAAAAACACTCTCAAAAGCTGTGTGGAGACTTTAATGAATTTGCTTTAAACCGAAGTGGAGGCGTTTTTGTGAGGAAATGGAGGCCAGTGATGCTCACTGATTTCGCCGTGGAGGCAATGTTTCACCAATCGCCACGTACTGTGTGTTTGCTTCCTCCAAATCTGTCAAATAATCGCCCTCTTGACTCCCCAAACCCCTTGTTGGCTACGACGATCATATTGACAATCAAATGGATTCGCAATGGAGGTCTAAGTTGACACATGCATGAAAGCTAACATCTGCCCAACCGCAGTGATACTGTCAGTTGGACTTGAGTTGTAACTAACTTGACTGCCACTTTTTCCTTTCATGCAGTCTTTAAGGAAGAGCCGGCGATTGCCCCCAGTCTAGCCCAATACAAACGGATTTTACAACGTCGTGCACAAATGACAGGTGACAATCAGGACGAAGCTGACTTCGACTCCGCCTTTGGTCAGTCATCTTTTTTCAGAGCCTCTTTCGCTTCAAGTTAACCACTTCACCCGCTCCATTCTCCCTCCTGTTTAGCTTAAAATTCTATAAGTTACGATGGCCATTTTGGTGCCTGGTTTGGCCTACTTCGAGGGCAGATCAAAGGACAAATGTCGTTTGCATTTCCCTTTTTCTTGACCTCACTTGAAAATTCTCCCTTCTAATTCCATCTCAAGTTGAATTGGTCAATCGGTAGAAGTGGCTACCTTCATCACACCTTCTCTAGTTAGTTGAGCAAAGTCTAACCGATGTTAGTTACATCATCAAGAGTGGAGAAATTGTCCTCCTCATCGATACCAGTTCACTTCAATTCCACTCAGCCACGCAAAATCAGAAGTTGACTCAGCTTGGGTCACAATGACACCCTTTTGGAGATGCACACATCTGAGACAGTCACTAGGTCGTTCGGACGGCAGTCATTGAATTAATGTACTTCCGCTTCAACAGGTCATGCTGGATACAATTCGGAGTTGCATTTTGTGGCATATGACTCCGATGCATGAGGAAAAATGTCGAAACAGATCGCTTTTAATTACTCGCTTGCTTATTATAGAGCCGGAGAGCTCCGTTCTGACTTTGGAGGAGTCGGAACTGGTTAATCAAAGCTACTTCCATCAAGTCGTGCATTGCTTCAAGTCTGTCAGCTTCATCCTCCTCAACATCTGTTATGGTGAGTCGCAAATGGGTAAAAATATATTAACTTGCTGGAGCATTTACTCAGTTAAGGAGCCACTTATTCTCTGATCCGCTTGATCATGCACCACTTCACTTTCTGATCCTTTTATCTTCTTTCTTATTCATTCAAATAAAGTAATACAAATGACTCAATCACTAGCCGTTTCACCTCTTTTCGTCTTCCTTTTAAAGGTGTGAACACGGGGGTGTACTACGAAATTGGCACTCTTTTGAACAGCATCGTTGCAGAGTTCTTCCCGGTGCGTTTATTCAGCCAAGCATACGCGTACTCACTCTTAAAAATGTCAAAAAAGTTTCTCATTTTTACCTAACTTTATGCCTGGGTCTTTCAAATCCTCTCATTGAGTGCCCTGCAAATAGGTGTTTAGGCCGTTTACAATTCATTTGACTGTAAACTGATTTTGACCTCCATTGTAATGGAAATGGATTGTGAATTGACGCTTTCATAGAACGCGTCGATTTGATTAGGGTTTGCGTTCAACTGCGCGACAGCGAGAGTTTGAATTGGAGGGGCAATAGTTGTCAAGTTATGAGGTGAATAGATTTGGGAATTTGTATGAAGTTCGTTCGAAATTTTCCTCACTCTTGGAGACGGCTTCAGAATAGCATGTTTTAGGGGCGAAGCTAGTTAACTCGAGTCCAAAACACCGTTGATGGTAGGGGAGAGAAATGAGTTACAGTGGATAACTTTTAAGTACTGTTTCCTGACACAATGCTCATTCAACAGTATCTAGCAGTCACATACTTGATACGTAAAACTCACCTGACAGAGTTGCCTCGTTGAATTTTGAGCCATTGTGAATTGAAGCTAAGACAGGTCCAACATTCACGTTCAGTTTTCTTCCAGTCCATTAAGATACCGATTTTAAATGGGACAAGACCTTTTGAGAGTTTTGTTTTCTATCATTTTGATGCGAACATATGGTGCTCACTAAAACTGTAGTATCCTAGGCCTTGTAACTATTTTCATTGCCCTTAAGTCGTTTTGCTGTTTACTTTAAAACAATGGAAAAACTGGCGAGTTAAAAGTTTTCATTATCACATTCCGGAAAAGTATTTTAACTGTCTTGAGATAAGTGCAAACTGTTGCCTTTGGGGTTGCAGCAGCAAATCTACTCTTTTTACTTTGCTTAGTCGTTTGTGTAGACGCCCTCTTCTCTAATGGCAGCCCCAATTTGACCTTTACTTTGGACTAGTTAAACACCTAAGTGCGCTTTAGTCTTCACATTCCTTTATACCTTTTAGGAAAATATTTTTTTGTTACAATATTCCTCCTACAAACAATTTTGCTCATTGATTTCTTGAAACTGAATTGCTACTTTAGACGCTCAAATGTGTATCACCTCCTCTATCATAGTCTACAAAATTTGCTAACGCGTGCTTTTCTAGACAGAAGTCAACAAAGGTCAGAGTAAAAAATGCAGTTAGGTATGTACCTAATAATTGTGTGGTGTCTGGGGGTTTGATGATGCAATGCCCATGGTGTGTGGACTCAACGTCATTTTCTCACTATACTTGGCCTTTGAGCGTAATGCCAAGGCCTTTCTGCCAAAGGTGAACTCACAAATTCTACACTTTCTTTTTGCACATTAAAGTCGACTAGAATGGATTCTGCCCTTAATGCAATGCTCTTCTCATTTTGACACCTACTAAATTATGGAGTTTGGAAGGAGGGATGTTAATTTTTTTATAAATTATGCTTTGTTTTGATTGGGTTCGTATGAGAGCTGATGTGATCCTTCTTTCGCCCTCTTCCAAAATGGTGCCTTTCGATGAAAAAAGGCAACTGGATTTGCTATAGCAGTCACGGTATGCACTGTTTATCTGATAACTCCACTCTCACGTCAAATAATGGAGATACGTTTCGGTAGTAGAGGAAGAAGCAGAAAGTGCGGGACCACGACTCTGTGGGTTTCGTGCCTCTTTGGGTGTTCCAGTCAAACTTAAGCACACGTGTTTTAAGCATTTAAATGCCGTCACTCAATAGTGCATTCCGTACTCACTTCACAAGGTGTGACCTCAAGAGTTTAGAGTCATCCATAGACGTCATAAGCGTTGTGACTTGACAGACTGCAAAACACTCTCATTCGCCTTATCGCCAAGTAGCGACAAGGCCTTGCATTTCCACACGACGTTGCACCCTATGCTCACTTGTCAAATTCACGCATCAGGTTGCAGGCAGGAAGTTGTGCGTAAGCCTTTGTGCTGCCTTTTCAAGCAAGTCTTTCTTACACCTCGATGTACTGACAATGACTTTTACGTACTAAGGAATGTCATTTTTTAAGTTGTGACAATTACCTGATAGGTTTTCTCACATAGTAGGTGTGACTGATTAGCAAGAAACGCAGCTCCATAGATGACAGACTAAAGTACTGGAGGAGGTCAGTGCCGCCCTGACACATGGCGCGCATTAGGCCTAAGCTGACCTCGTAGTCTGTTGTCACGCTAATTGTGGCTGATTGCTCGCGGCAATGAACGTAGCAAGTGAAAGAGTCAATGTCAATCACTCTTCCCCTTGTAGCCTGAGATCCACTAGGCCCTCCTTGAAGCCCACTTCATTGTTTGTACGAATCAAGCTGCTATTGTTACGAAAACCTCCCCCTTCTGGTCCACCATTTGTCTCCATTCGCACCCTCTCATTTGAACAGTTTGAGCTTTGTGTTTAAGCAGATCCAGTTGTTAAGTACGGAATGTTTTCGAGCATCACTAGATTTTCCTAATGCTTCTGCGCAGCTGATATGAAAATAAGGCTTTTTGTTAAGGTCTCGGCGCGTTGTCGATAGCTCTTCGACATTGAGCTTTTCTACGGTAGAGGGTTTACTTAGGCACGCTCCATAGACCCTCTGATTGGAATCAAAATCTTCTTTGTTTTTTTTTTTGCGCTTCGATTTCTCAGAACAAGTGGTGTGAGGAGCTATGGTAAGTAGTTTATTCTCGCTTGGATCTGATCCGAGTGTTTCCATCTCACATCTTCGGTGGTCATCAAATTGACTGCAATCCTCCCAGTTTCTGCTTTCACTTTGCCAAATCCAACCTTTTCTCACTCGAACACACTCATCACGCCCTGTACGCTGCGTTAAGGCGTTAAAGCAACAATGAGGGGATTTTTTTGCTCCCAGTTGGAAGTAGAGTTCCACTTTCTGGAAAGGTTATACAGAGAGGACGAGTGGTTTTGGCTCTGTTAGGACACTTTCGTGGTCTCGGAAAATGTCCGTGTTGCACCTGATTGTTGGACATTCGAGAGTGCTGTAAAGCTCACTCTCCCCTTCAGTACGTAGGTGCGCTGTTGCATGTTATGAGCTGCTGTCTCGTCCCTATTAGTTGCCAATGTGGGTCTCGACATGCTCTGTCCTCGCACACACACGTCTACAGCCTCTAGAAAGCGGCATTGCGATCAAAAGCTCTTTCATAAATGCCGCTTTTAGCCTGATTCACACGGTTAAATGCTGATGATAAGTAAAAGTGGAAGAAGATCGTGCACGAGGCACTGACATGCCACGTATTCTCAGTTGAAGTGAACGTTCCATTGCATCGCCTTGTTTGACACGCACCGGGTCCGAATGGAATGAACTATTTTAAGGACAATGTGACAGCGTAGCATTTGTCATCCTCATCGTTTGAAATCACAATACTACCACACTATTTACGGCTAGAATAGTTTGCCATTAGAATCACTTCAGTTTGGTGGAGGGCTTCTCAGTGTCAAGCGCTCTCTCCTCACCTTAGGGGGAAGCGAGGTCAGCATTTTTAAATTTTTGCCAGAACAGCTGTAGTCGTAGCCTCAAAGTAGGCACGAATCCAACTTTTGACCCTCTCTCTTGCCACCCGTAGACGGAGCAAGTAGCAATTGGATGGATTGGATTCAGCATGGTCATTGCAGGTCTCGTCGGTTCGATTGTCGCAGGAGCGGTGTTAAAGAAGACGGGCCTGTACAGGTGAGTGGAATTGGTTGACAATATCGTCATTTGCTATTCAACAGGGTCACAAAGTATGTCAAACCGTCATTATGAGCTCGAGGCAGTCATGAGTGAGGCCCTACTCTGTCCACTGTTTGGTACTCTCATTTGTCTATGCTTGGAAATCGCTCATCGCGGTTTTGCCATCATCATTAGCCTACAGCACAAAAGACCGTTGGAGTGTCAAACTACACGGACTGAGGTTATTATCAGGTCGCAAGTGGTCACACCTTGTCCTCCACTGTCACTGCCTTCCAAACCTCATCAAAGCGCAGCTATTCTCCGGCCACAAGAGGCAGCGCTCTCGACTTTAGCTTTTAATGGTCGCCCAAAGTGTCGACGATGGGACCGATTTTGAGGTTCATTCTCGTGATGAGGAGGCGGCATCCAACACTACAACAACAAGAAGCTCAAAATGACATCATTCAACCACTTTTTGGAGGTCCCTTTTTTATCAGTTTCTTCTGTAGCTTTGCTTTTTATTTCGTTCTCACAGGCGCTGCACTCCTTCAACACGGTTTGAAGGGTCTTAAACAGCAAGACCCAGAAGGAGAGCCATCATAACTCTGGTTTAAATGATGTCACGGCTTAGAAGTCATCTTGCAACTATCAACACTTGAGAATACAGTGGCACTCCAGCCGTAGGTGGAGTTGACGTCGGGGTGAGGTTTAGAGGCAACAATAGAGACTGCTTGCCTATCACTTGAATGAGTGTCATTCAGTTGACAAAATTGACATTCTGCTTGTTTGAATGGTGAAAAAAGTTGCTGTGGATGGTTTGAGTGGGAACTGAAACTTCGGGAACGTCACCAGTGGAGCGCCACAGACGGGCAGACGTGGTTCGCACGATCATCCAAGTCCCAGTAGGAAGTTAACCGACACCAATCAGATGTCCTCCAAAGAACTGAAATGCAATAGACGTGAAGCACTTTTCCTTCCTCCACAGTTTCACGCTCGAATCTTGATTCCAGTAGTCGCGTGTGTGAAAAGTCTCGGTACTGAATGTGAAGTGTTTGAAGACAAAATTCACACATTCTAGGGCTTTTGCTTATGTTAAGTTTACTCACGAAACTCGGAGATTCATTGAAAGGCATCAGCATTCTGTCGCAGTGGAGGAAATGCCAATGCACACCGATGTTACTCTCAATTTACACAGTTTCCTTTGGTGGCTTTCAATTCCACCGCTCTCCCTTTCTCTCTCTCTCTCTTGTCGTTATAATTGACGGTGACAAGTGTTTTATTTCACTTTCTTTAGACGAGTCTTGATCGTCTTCTACTTCCTTAGTGTGGCCAGTATGGGAGCCTTCATGGGAAGCATTTACAGCAACTTGATTGGCACCGTCTTCCTCACTATGATCCTCCTTGGGTAGGTGAACAACGGTACTTTGCCTTTTCAATTATTCCTGCCGAGACACTTTGTCAACTCCTAGCAAAAGTTGTCACAATTTTCCAACTGCTAGAGGGATTTAGCGAGGCGGAGGGGATTCGAAAGGTGCGGTGGAAGTTGAGGCGAAACTTGTAGCAACAATGCAGAGACATGAGACTTTACCGAGGATTCCGTGTTTAGCGATGCTCGATCTGGCTAGGGGGAGGGGAGGGGAAGGGGAAAGGAGAGTTCCCTCCTAGCCTGACATCTCAAGGATGATGAGCCACGTACTACGTGGTGGATTGGACCCACGTTGAAGGAAGGTGACTTTGTGAAGGACTGGTTAAAATGATTCCACAACACCGACAAGAGCTGGAGAGGACCACAGCTGCTGTCAGTTCCGCCATTCCTAATTCTACTCCTCACAAGAGAGGGAAAGTTTAGCACAACTCCCTTAGCACCGCTTAAAACTTTACCTCTAGGGACGTCTATGAGATGAACAAGGAATTTGCTGGTTTGGCTAAATAAAATCCAATCCACACGGCTAGGAGGAGGCAATGCAAAGGAAATAGAGTGAATGAGTAAAGTCACTGCAGATTGACTTGATTGACAAAGAAAAGTACTGCTGCTGCCTTGTATCCAACGCAATCTCCACCTTCTACAAGTTCCCCTTTTGCGGCTTCTATGGGTGTGGGATCGGAGAGTTGAGACTACCTCGCATGGTTAGTGGCTCCTCCTTTCTACCTCTTCTGCCTTTACAGCTTCTTCCAATCCGGTTTTCTGCCTCTCGGCTTTGAATATGCGGCAGAAATCACCTACCCCATCGATGAGGGTCTCACTTCTGGCATTCTCAATACATCAGCTCATGTAAGTTGTCATGTTGAATATGATTTCCTTTCCCTCATTTTTCTCTCACCTTTTCAAAGGTGGTGTGAAGTTAAAAGTTGGTGGACATGGATTGTCTCACCCTCCTTACCTCAGAGTTGCCTGAACGGTGTGCACGTCGTCCCTGATGCCTCATTTCCACTGCCAGTGCCGACACACCTTCGCTGATCCTCTCCCTTTCGTTCTTTATTTCTCCTGGCGTCAGTGTGGGATGTAAAGCGCCTGGAGGAAGTGTCAAAGTGCGGATGATATTGTCACTTATGCTTGAACAAGTTGAAATTTTTCCCACCACTTCATTGCCTTCTCGAGTCGCATTATTTACCCTAAATAAACACCTTCCCGCAGACACGTAAAAATGCTCCTTTCTCAAATCGAATAAGTTGTGGTTGAAGCAAGCTTTTCTTCTCCTCCTCCTCCTCCTCCTCCTTTTTCCCCTTGGCCTTCATCTCCTTCTGCCTCGCCTTTCAATTACCTCCTGACACTTAAAGAGTAAAATCTCACCGCCATCGGTATTTTTATGTAGAAATTAAGATAAATATGGTATGGAGAAGTTTCCCAAATCTGCAAATTTTGTGTCAGTGATTCGGAGAATGAAAACTGCTCTCCATTCAGCTCATTCTACCTACATCATTAGAAATATTGCAATTTCTATGTGGAAAAATTGTACTGCCTCTCCATTTTGAAGGCTCTCACTACTTGTGGAACGACTTCTCTGTGCAGTTTTCAAGCCCTTCTTGAATGAATCGCGTAATTCAAAAGCCCTAACCTGGTCCTGCTTTGAGGGCAGAGATTTGTGTACACCAACCGGAACACCAGTCCCCTTTATACCATGGCTGTCGCTTGTTATGCCGTTGAGATGCTCCTCCAAACTCTATACTTTACAAACTCACCCATCGCTTTTGTTCAGAGGAGGGCAGAGTGCAGATGAGATGCTGCCAACACTTTAGGCGGTTTCAATATACCTCTGAATGTTGCCACAGGCTAAAAGCAGAGTTACCATTCTTTCTAGGTATGGTGCAAAGTGGGATGAAGTGACTCCGATTCGTCTACCCTTTCTTTTCCAAGCAGCATTATCACATTTATAAGAAAATTTTCAACAGTTATCTTAGCAATAACATTGACTTTTTCATGTCTTCCTACTGCCACTTACTAGCGTTGCCTAATCATCAATGAAACTGATCTCCTCATTTGATCGCACAGATATTTGGCATCATCCTGACTCAAGTTGCAACTGCTATGATTGGCAAGTACGGTTCTCTCCCGACAAACATTTTTATCCTCGTCTGTATGGTGATTGCTGCTGTGCCTGCTTGTAAGTTGTCCTCTTGCATTTTTTCTGCTAATATGACACATAACAAATTCTTTCTTCTACATTCATTTCATCAATTGCGATTATTTATTCATGATCACTAAAAGACAGTCCGCGCTGTCATTGGCTGATTTGAAGGTCGCTCATTCCTATTGGGCCCTTGCCGGGGACACTTACCTCAGCCATCCTGTTGAAGGAGTCCATTGGTGGTTATTGAAGCCAACAATTGACCTGCTTAATAGTCTCAAAATTTTTAAAGCTTTGGCTTTTTAAATTCACCATTTTATCGGATTGTGCATTCTCCTTCTGGTTTTGCCTTTGCCATGGGAGACTGACGCAGAAATGCTGATTTTTTTGGCATTTTATGCTCACTGCTGAGGGTGGACAGCCAAGTAGGCTTCGTGCCTACTGTTAAATGAGAGGCAGCGTCAGTCTGACAACTAATATGGTTGAGAAACCGGTTTGTCAGCCCGCCTTCATTCATGATTGTGTGGTGAGGATGATAATAATGATGATGCGCGTGCGTGCGTGCGTGTGGATTCATCCCTGTCGACCTATGTAAACAGTTTACGTACACACTGGCTCATTTGTTGGTGAGAGGGTTGAGGGGTTTGAAAGTGGCAACAACACTTGTGGGATAAGTACAAGATACTCCAAGCGAATGTAGGTTCGGAAACTGTCGAGGGCTTTGAAAGGGGGTCATAAAACAGGCGTGATGGATGTGAAATTGGGCGACTGACCACAGACCTCGAGAGGGCCGAGGAGCTATGGATGCAGATTCCAGCCAAACAATTCATGCACCAGAGCGCGACCTCAAAATTTTTACCTGTGAGAGTTGAATAGGTAGATGTTAATACAACGATGTGGGTGGAATCTTGTTTTGACCAACAAGGCTAACGGTTTGCCGTGCCACTGGCAGTTGGAATAAATTTTCTCCACATTTGAAAAGGCTGCTACTTTATTTTCTACAGGTTTCATGAAGGATGATCTCAAACGGCAGCGCGCTCATGAAAAGGTAATCTTTGCCAATTTAAACACACTTTTATTAGGCTTTTCAACAACGTTTGTTTTTGCTTAACACAACACAACTCTCACGCAAAACCATCGCGTTTTTTTTTTGCGTCAAGCTTTTTATTGAATTGTCAGACAATCCACTTGGGGTGCATTGGGCATACGCCTGGCGTCAGACAAGCGCAGCCTAAAGCTTCTGTCAGGCATTGGTAAAGTTGGCTAAAACAAGTCCCTCTTGTGGGAACAACAGATATGCTGTGTTTTCGGTTCGACCTGAACAATCACAAGCCTGACAAATGGCAGTCAGTGTCATGCAGCTCGTCTTTGGCCTTCAAAGGACGAAGAAAGTTATTGCTGATGTTGGGTGGAAATGAGAGGCCTTTTTTGTGCGCCTTATCCGGCGGTAGCACAATGCTGAAGGCAATTTAATCATCGGAGGTGATTGTGATGAATCTGTACCGTTGAATTGACGGAATGGGCTGTAGGGCCAATGGAAGGTGGCAGGTGGAGAGAGTTCGCTTTCCTCCGCCTCTCTTAATTTCAATGAGGCTAAAGACGCCGTTGTAGAGACTTTGGTGCTGACAAGTAGCACGAAAGTCTAGTCCCAAGGGTCGGTTGGCCTGCCTCATCGGACGAGGGTTTAATTGGAAAGATCTTGACTTGTCTCGTCAGCAGATGATTTCACGGAGCCAAACGATGAAGAAGGTACGAGATTTTTCTTCAGTCTCCAGTTTGTATGCACTGAGTGTGACACCGTTGGGGAAGATGTCGAGGAAGCTTTTGGTGCATTGGTCTGACTTATACCAGGTATCGTCTTTGTTAGACCTACAGATGCCTTGCCAAGCAAATATGTATCACCTTCAGTCGTATTGAATGCGCTAGAGCTGCAAGTAAGTAGGCCGATCAGGCAATTGTTGTCGGCAACTCATCCTAAGCACGGTCATGGATGAGCTTTTATTGCTTACTACCGCCAATAGCGAGCGAAAGCAACAAGTCGCATTCCTTTGGATGACTTTTAACTCATGATCTCATGGTCTGGTTTCGTGTTATATGACCAGTCCTCTTCGCTACATCAAAATGTCCGCCATTAAAAAAAGCTGTCCAGCTTCCTCCCACCTCGGGTGTTACAACTCAAGGAAGTTGCTTATTAGTCAAGCCAAAGTCGTCCAAACGGCGGATAAATTTGTTGCTTCTTTATCACTATCGCCACATGTTTAGCATTTTGGGAGACTTGGCCTTGACACCTCTCTTCCTCAAGGTCAATATCATGACCAAACATTACCAGTGGAAATACTACTTATAATCGTATGAGTAGAGGCCCAAAGACGATTTCGCGGAACCTACTACACGAGACTTAAGTGGCAACAATGTTAAAAAAATGTCATATCATCAGCACCACAATCTTTCCAATTAATTGTTAAAGGGTTGTCATGACGTTGGAACAGCTAAACATGAGGTGATCTGAATCACTGATTGGGCTTGTGGGCTGCTTCGCCTGCAGTGCATTTCACTTCCTTCTCCTATTCTTCGATAGGCGTAAGAACTTTGCGTTTGGTAAAAATTTACAACAAATTGGTAGAATCTGCTTCTTTTTTTGGAACGGTTGAAGTGTCATTTAGCCTCCTATCGGTGAGATTTTTTTTAAAACTTGTCCTCTTGGTTAAACAAATTTTCATGGTGAGGTGAAATTGTTCATTTGTGAACAAGTTTTAGGACACGTTTGTTACCCGATTTACAAGTTAGGAGTTAACTTTTGATTTTGGGCATTGTTTAGACTCAGTCACACGATGCGATATGCACATTTCTGTGCGATAGCAGTTGTTACGATCTGCGGTGGAGGGGGCGGCTTTGCCCGACCTCAGTTACACAAACACTGAGGCCACATGCATGTGAACCGTGCGCCACACTTACGAGATCCACTTTTACTGCATCTTTTTTGAGCTTAAAGAACCTCAGAATACACTTTCCTTGAAGAAGTGAATTATTGTTATACATTTTTTTTGTTTTTAAAGCTACGCATTGAAGTGGAGCTCAATTCCGGGGGTGAATTCGATTACTCCAACATCAGCAGGAGCAGAGACGTCTAAAAGTCATCGTCTCACACAACTTTACACTGCCTCCCAACCGTTGTACCAACACCGTTTGCTTTCTGAAGCCTTACAAAAGAAAAAAAGAAATAAGAAGGTATTTTTCGAATAGATTGGCGACTTTCTGATGAAGTGATGGGCGAGGGGGCAGTAAGGGAAACAGTGGCAGCGAGCTGCCGAGACATTTCACTTAGGCTAAATTTAACCGACCATAAGATGGTGTTGGAGAGTTTTGAGGGGGGCGAAACGCATGCAACAACAATCGAAATAAGTAGTCTCACAAAGTGTCGCAATTGTTACGGTATGGGAAGGCCATGGAGGGCCTCAGGCACGATCCATCAACACCACCTAAACATTGTCATTTAAGACCACCGCAAAACGCGCGAAAGCTAGCCGTTCTTCATGCGGTTCCGATGTTGCATCGTGTTCATCACCGCTGTGCTGGCTTGCCTCCTCCTATTGACTAGGAAGGAGGGGCGGAGGTAAGGCACATTCCCCCACTTGTGTGCACGTCTTCCACATTCATCTGTGCAAGGTATGGCGCATAAGCAAGCCTTTGGTATCGGAATCGTGCATCTTTTTTCCAGAGATAGCCTATAAAACAACAATTTCCTTCGAATAGGATGATGTGCTTGGGGCATTTTTGGAGGAAGGGAGACAAGGAGAGAGGTGGGAAGACTTCAGATTTAGTGAGAGACGAGACTGTTTTAAAGTGACCAAGTGGACTTTACATGCAGTCCCTTCGGCCTAACTCGCTCATCTCCTCACCATTGCAATTTGTTGAAGTCAGTCAGCTCTTCTGTAAGAAAGAGGGGACACGTGACACCTAATCCACGCAACCACATGCCTCCTTTGCATGTTGCAGAGCCTCCCACCTTCCCTTCCTTCATACCATTGCCGCACCACGTTCGGATGGCGGCTTGCATCAACGCCCATCCTGTGTGTGCGTATCAGTTGGGCATGGGGCGCTGGAGTGAGTGTCACATTTCCCTTTAATTTGGTGGGTGGATGTCCGAGTGGGACAACAAAGCATCTTGTTCACAGTGACTGTTGACGCAAGGATAGTGTCGTGCTGCAGTGCTAGAAACGCTGAGGTGATGTGCATGCTTGAAGTGGCACCGAGAGTGGGACAAATTACGCGAGTGGAGAGAAGGGGTTGACACGGCGGCGACAACAAAGTGCAAAGAAAAGGATCTGTACCGCTTTACTGGACTCATTTAAGCTCATTGTACCGTGGATCGTCTCAAGCATCAGTCTTGGTTCACATATTTGTCACGGTGTTGTTTGAAAGAGTGCAAGGTGGTGCCAAAACAGAAGTTTAAGATTCTGCCAGTGACTAATCGAAGAAGCAATGACTCTTCTGGAGTCAGACAATGGCAGAGTGATGAAAGAGAAAATTTCTGCCGTTAGCAGCGTAAGTTAAAGATCTTGCGTGGTGAGGTTTACAACTTAATTCTATCGTCTTCTCAGATGATATTCTGTCAGTTGCTTTCTAGCTTTTGTTGCTAAACCCTCATAAGTGTATAGAAGATCTGAAGTGTCATATTTTGGGTAAATCCTGACCTGCTAGGCCGGTTATATTTCGTGTTTTCACTTCTCACCGAGGCTTTGGGGCAACTCAGCATCTCCCTGTTGGACCCTGACGCTACTTACTTCTCCTCGGCATTATTGTTTCTGCAATTGTTCTTCTAGTACACATTTTAGCTTTCATTGGCACTCACAATATCAATTTACCGCTTGTTCCTTTTCTGCTGCCATGATGAATCACTTCTGGAGGTTGGGTGTTCATCTGCCCACAATTGTGATTAGCCAATCAGCGGCCTCTGATCGAATCATCAGTCGTGGTCGCCACGTCGTCTCCGGTATTGAAACACGTCCGCTCATCAATGGCAGCCTGACACTTATTCGTCACCTGGACATTAATAGACGATTGAATGCTCGAAAAAAAGCTGAAATGGAAGATCCCTCCCACTGATGGAGGCTAATAGCCTCCAATAATTTGAATCAACAATATAAAATGGCGGGTAAATGCTATGTTGTGTGACTAATGTGTATTGAATGCATTCTTGTTGCCGCCGCCGTGTCAACCGCTTCTCTCCACTCGCGTAATTTGTCCCACTCTCGGTGCCACTTCAAGCATGCACATCACCTCAGCGTTTCTAGCACTGCAGCACGACACTATCCTTGTGTCAACAGCCACTGTAAAGAAGATGCTTTGTTGTCCCACTCGGATATCCACCCACCAAATTAAAGGGAAATGTGACACTCACTCCAGCGCCCCATGCCCAACTGATACGCACACACAGGATGGGCGTTGATGCAAGCCGCCATCCGAACGTGGTGCGGCAATGGTATGAAGGAAGGGAAGGTGGGAGGCTCTGCAACATGCAAAGGAGGCATGTGGTTGCGTGGATTAGGTGTCACGTGTCCCCTCTTTCTTACAGAAGAGCTGACTGACTTCAACAAATTGCAATGGTGAGGAGATGAGCGAGTTAGGCCGAAGGGACTGCATGTAAAGTCCACTTGGTCACTTTAAAACAGTCTCGTCTCTCACTAAATCTGAAGTCTTCCCACCTCTCTCCTTGTCTCCCTTCCCCTCATAATGTATGAGGAAGGCCACTATCGAAGAATGCGCACATGTTTAAATCATGGAAATTTGTGAAGAAATTTTAGAGAAAGACGAGAATTCGTGTTTATCTCGACCACATACCTTAGTCCAGCGGTCTGAAGGAAGTCCTTTACCTACCTAAAGTACCTATAAAAGTTTTCGGCATAATGGCCAAAAGTATAGCTAATATCAACTGCCGCTGCCTTCTTTGCTTTTCTTCTGCCTACATGGAATTTAAGTTGATTTAATTGAGTAGCTTTGACGTGAGTTTGCAAAGAGACGCAGAAGGGAAGCGCGACGTCTTCAGGATCATTCTAATTTCATTCAGAGCACAATTCTATTATTAATGCAGTTCTGTTAGGCCCATATACAGACATGGGTGTACGAACGACCTGCCTAGCCTCATGGCCTTGAACTGCGGACTTCAAGAAAGGGTTAATTGCAGTACATTTATTAGGCATTAAATACAGGAAGAACGGGGATAGGAGTACAGATGAGCCGAATAGCAGATATCACTTCGAGAGGGATTCTTCATGGTCCTCCCACACCGATTTCGCGTTCAAATTCGCTTCCCGCCTTCCCTGCAAAGGTCAACTTAAACAATCTAGTATATATTACAATGGGTAGAAACCATAATACTCCCAAATCAGGTGTCAAACTGCGAGGAGCTGGTGACGATAAGGGGCACTGTGTTAATTGGTGAGGGTATCACCCATGGACAGCGCTGGAAGCATTTCTACAAATATAAACCATCAAGATGTCCTGCAATTTATCAACACATTAGATGAACACTCCTTATGTCAGTGGCACCAAATATTTGGTTTGAAGAGAATGTACATCCAGGCAGAGGAAAACTCTTTCATGTACATTCACCAAACTCTTTAGCAATCTACTTTTCTTTCCTGGGCAAGGCATGGGAACTAATGATAGAACAATAACAGAAAACCGTTAAAAATTTGAATAACATACTTACTATAACGATTTGACCTTATTCCATAACAAAGCTGATATCCTGCTCAATAAGTATGAACCAGCAATTCAAAAATTAAATTGGCATAACATTATCGATTATTTGGGGTACTACTTTTAGAATCATTTCTTGTGAGTTGACGTTTGGCAATTTCCATCTCAGTGGACAACAACTGGATGGCAGAGATGCAAGAAACTTGGCTAAAAGATAGTTGAGGTCGGAATCCTTAGTAAAATACACATATTGATAGAGATATAATAATTATTGCCAAGCTATGCATCCCTTTTCAAAGTTCCTTTGGGCAGCACATCAAGCAGAATTTTGCAAGCTGACCTGACGATAATTGGACTTAGCACCTACGCCAGTCTCAACGCATTCACGTGATTGACAATGAGTTTATCGAATATAATGTATAAATAAAAGCATTTACCATTGCTACAGCTCTTTGCACTTAAAATTTACATACATTTATATGTCTTTGTTTAATTCCATCAACCGGCAAATCAGATGAGACGTTCAATTCCGATAAGTCATGGCGGCTGCGGCTGACGAGAAGCAGGGTGATCGTCTAAATCGACTGAAACAACTGCAGATTAAGATTGTGAGTTGTTTTTGTTATCTTTTCTTATATTTTTTTGGATTGAAATTGTTCGTAACCAGTATGTTTGTCTGAATAAGTTCTAAGCGAATAACTCGGTTGGAAACTTGTCGCATCCTAAGGCTAGTCTTTCATCATAGGGGTACCATTTGCAATAATTGTATCTTTCCCATTGTTAAAGGACGAGGCAAAGAAGGCTAACCATATCCAGGTGGTTGAAGAGGACAGGCGCAAGCACCTGCCCTCTAATTGGGAAGCAAAGCAAGCGAGAATGCGTTGGGAAGAGGAGGAGGATGCATTTCGGACGGAATGTGCCAGGAAAGGCGTTGATGTAGATAGAGCTAAGAATCTGAACATTTCTGCAGAACTTGTTAATCGTCTGGAATTGCGGAAGAGGCGTAAAAGGCCTCACCTCAGCGTTGATGACGAAGCAGGGGATGTTGCTGGTTTTACATCATATGCAGACGCTTCACATAAGAAGTATCTTAAGCAAACCAAGGCCCTCAAGCCGGATTTGGTGGCTTATCAGAAACAGAAGGAAAGACTGTGAGTGCGTCTATTTTATCCTCGTTCTGTTTTGTTTCGCGTCAAATGCGACTTGTTGTCCAGGGTTTACATAGGGTTGTCAGTACTATTTCTCTATGAAGTGTGAGAGGTTATGAGCTCCATTCTTTGAAGTAACTTTGGTCTGCAATCCTTGCTAGTAGTTGTTGCTGTTTTTATGCTTATTCTTGTGGCCTTTGGAATTGTTCCCGTTAGAAAATCAAATCATTGGTCGCAAGCGCATGAAGTGTTTAAGTGGCCATTCTGCAATTTTTTTGATGGGTATGAGTAAATTGAGTGACTTGGTGCCCTGCTTAAAGTAACTGAGAATGGAAACTTACAAATCTCTAAATGTCTTAGGTCGTGTTTAAGTTACTTTCATTATCACACAGTTGCAGTTTACGTTTAGATTTATGAGGGCTGTCAATGGTCTTGCTTTGTAATAAGTCGATGATTAGTGATGGTCAAACGCTGCGATGATCAGGAGGGACTAGCTGGACTAACCGGCGTTTCCGCCAATCTCACATTGACAGGGGTGATTTAGTCTATCCAACGGCACACACTATTGGTCTGGTGGAGGCAATACAGACAGGGACTGAAAGCAGTCGAGAGGCAGTGGAGAGGATGGTCAATACGCTGAAGGAGCAGGAGAAGAAGAAGGCTGTTTACAGTCGCCGTCGCGCCTTTGACCCAGATGCCGATATTGACTACATCAACGAGCGTAACAAGCGCTATAACGAGCTCCTCGATCGCCACTACGGAAAGTACACTGCGGAAATTAAGCAGAATTTGGAACGAGGCACTGCTCTATAGGTTGGCTGTAAACGAATGCCTTCCATTCCGTCGTCTTTGTCTGTACATTTGTATCAAACTGGTTCTGCTCGATCCCTCCCTCCTGTACATAAGCACTTGTTTTCTTTTCGAGCCTTTTTTGGTTGCCTAGAATAAATGCGACCTATTGTTCATCCATCTTGCCGTCTTGTTTGTCGTATAGCACTCGCAAGTGGTCATGTCCACGTACGGGTTCTTATTCCAATTGGTACCTTGATTTAGTTTACTTTGTTACCTTCCGTGGGGAACGCGTAGTGGCTGCGTAACGCCAATCAGGGCAATGGCATCATTTAGGCTTGACGCTCCGTAAACTGCTTGTTCCAAAGGTCCCAATTACGCTTTTAGTACACTTCGAGTATGCAATGAAAGCACAGTATTGGTAGTGGAGGTTATCATTACCGAATCTAGTAGGTCAATCAAGAAAGCAAAGCCAGTTGCCGTGGCTTTCATCGCTCGCCATTTATACGGTTCCCGATACACAATTCATTCGTCGAATGGTGTCAAACGGCGCAGCTCAACATTGATAGACGTTTTGTTTGGGAAACTTCGCAAATACTAAGAGAAGTGCTAAGAGAGCTCAAAGAGCAAAATCCCAATCCGAAACTAGTGGTGTGCCCCCTTTATTGCCATTTTGAAGGTCCGTCGGTATAGATTAATGCACGGGAAAGCTCCAGCTTATCGTCAAAAATCAAGGGAACGCTGAGGTGTCGATCGCAATGTTAGTTGTTCGTGACGTCAAATTCATCGAATTAAAGAAGCTACTAGAATATTACTTACACTTTGTTACAAGTAGCAATGGATACAGGAGAGAAGAGTTTACTTTGTCAGTTTATGTCTTTTGCCTCCTGTGCGTCTCCGTCCCGGCCTATTTGCTCGATACCGAGTCGGTTTGAGTCCATGTTCGCCCTCCTTGCCCACTCTTTCCCACGGTGCCGGTACAATCTGTCCGTCTGAACGAAGACCTCGGATGGCTGCTTTGCTGCTCACGTCATGGTCTGGGAAGATGAGACTTGCCAGATCGCCACCGTCCACATCACGTGCTCCGCTGTCAAGGAAGAAGTCGTCGCCATCCTCATCATCATCGCAGAAGAGAAGACCGTTGGTGGCACCCATCGGTATCACGTTGGGGTTCTTGGGTTTTGGTGCTCGACGATCTGGAAGGCGCTGGTCAGCACGGTAAATCGGGTCGTCAGCATGTTTGCCTCCTTTTGGACGAGTTATCGGGTGCTGAATGGGAAATACCGACTAAATTAACCTCATCACTACCTCAAAATAGAGAATCGCCAATTGTATACCTTTGTACCTCTAAGGTTCTTTTTAAACTTCCGAGAAAAGTGGAACTCAAGCTGGCCATCCTCATGCAGAGTGACCGGGATCCGCCTCAGGTTCGGATATCCGCAAATCCCACAGAAATATGAATCTTGTTTTGATGTGTGCCTAAGGAGACAAATATGGATATTGAAGGATGCCTTTACCTCCGTGAAACACTAAATGCGAGGTGAACGACGAAAAACGTACGCATAGCATGAACCACACCAGAGAACATGAGTCCGAGCTTCCTTAATAATCTTGCCGGATAATCCTAGGAGGGTGATTCCAGCGTTCATCAGGACATTTTGTATGGCAAAGTCCTTCGTCAAGCAAGCAACAGGCACAGGTGGTGTATCTGCGGATATTTCCACCTCGTTATCTCTACAGAGGTGAATTATAAAATAAATGACAAACGGCAAACTGAGAAATAAAGAGCACAAACTTACAACCGAAGACTCTCAAGACCCAAGCCTTCTTCCAGTTTCTGAGCAAAGTTATCAGGCGTAATCCAGTCACTATCACTAATCATCCCATCAAATTCAACATTTTCTGACTCCCCAGATTCACTACTATCGCGGACAGATTCAGAATCCTCACAATCATCTCCTCTTTTGTCAACGCCAGCATCAGTACTGTGAGTCGAATGGTGATAAATCCGCCTAGGATCGTGTTCTGATTCATTTATAGCCGCCTCGACACCAAAATCATCGTTTTCTACGGCTGGCTTATGAGAATTAGATTCGACTCTATGCTCGGGCGGTTTTTTAAATTGAAAGAGTTTATCCGTAAATGTGGGTCGATTAATCTAGGACAATTAAAAAATGGACTGATAATCTCACTTCTTTTATGACTGGTTCGCCGCCAGTTACCTGAGTATACAGTTGATAGGTGATGGCTATAACTTCAACATCAGTCTTCGAGAGAGCAAAGTAATCACCAGTTTCCTTGGATATTTCTTTCACTAGCAAAACTGTTGAAAATAGACACTAATCTTACCCCACTTAATGGATTCTGGAGTTGGCACGTCAATGATGAGTGGATAAGGGAGCGCACTAACGAAGGCCCTGGTGTGCTTGTCGCGGATTTCATCGATAACAGACTGAGTTGTGTGACATTTTTTACCATATGTCTAAGCCGTCTGAATGCTTAGGTAGAACTTACATCCAGTTTTGCACGCTCAATGAAGGCTGCAGAATCCACGACCAAATGGATTGCTCTCGGACCAGCATTAACAGCCATCACGTCGAAAGATAGCCACAAGTGCCTTCAGATAGTAAGAGAACCAATCAGAACTGACATCAGCAGCATTAAAATTTTTCAGGAGGGTAATGGATAGAACCGCATTTCCTAGAAAATAATTTAGCCTAAAAATGAAAAATAAGATGTCACACCATTGAAGTACGTTCCTAGATGGATTGAAGCAAATAGTATGCATGCTACTTTAAGAGTGCTACGAAGATTTTAAATCAATTTGGGATATATCGGGCCCTTGTATCGTGGGCTGATCTTCGGACCATGTTCAGACCCAGCTGCTTTTTCACCTTTGGAGTAAATGAATCCGGTTTCACTTACTGCCTTCTTCCACCCGATGAGAAGTCTCGCGACTCCACATGGTTTGTATAGCAATCTTTGTTACTATGTCCGAGTATAGATGTCAGAAATTATATCGCAGCTAATCCCTTTCAATGGAGGCCTGTGTTTGTAGCACCCCGAGGCTTCCCATAGTGTGGAAGAAGACAACAGGGCTAATGGGGCCTGAGCGTGGCCCGAAGGCCAGCCCCTGTGTACAGGGGCCAAACAAACTCTCAAGTGACAGCCAAACGTCATGTGGTCACATAAACAAAGTATTACAGTGTTTAATCCCTTCCTTCTCATTAAACCTCTGTTATTGACCAGCATTCTACGGTCTGGTTGTGGGTACCATTGATGGTCAACAGAAACTTCTTACCGCGAATTTTGCCATCAGACCAAGCACATCTCCAGGTCCAGATGAGGTCGCAGTGGAGACGAAGTATTAGCCCTTAGTATCATGGAAGCTGACGACTGGCGCGGCTGATTCTTGGGTATTTTCTTGTGACACGGGATATGTTCCCATAGTTGGCGTGTAGTAAACATAAAACTCACACAATGCCCGGGCATCCTCAGGATAAAAGACAAGCAAAGATAACACTTCGTACACTAGTAGACTTCTTGAAAGTCTTTACCATAGGTGTGCAACTTAAATTATTAGGATCTGCACTTAGGACACACTCTTCTCGCACAGCATGCTATCGCCCATTGCTTGGCAGAACTGTCGCCTTTCAAGGTGCTCACGGGTCGTAAAATAAGGGTTCCTTCTGTCATCAATTCTTAGCCAGGGAATACTGGCAGGTTGTTACAGAGTACAATGAGATGAAGGGTAGGATTGAGGGAACAGCTGCATAAAGCATACGTCCAGCAGAAAAGGGTCTGCAAGAAAGGAGACCAAGTCCAAGTATACGAACCAATTCCTCATCAGCAACACGATGAAAGTTCTACTGCCCTTGGAGCAAGATTGGTTCTGTCAATTGCAAACTAACCTGTTCTAGATGCAGAGCTCCATACACCGTCCATTACAGTCTACCATAACAAAATGCGCTCCTAAGCCGCCGATCCTTAAGTTATTTATGAAGATGTGGTCCACGCGTTAGCAGGGGATTAGATACCCCTCTGCCAGAAGTTGGAGATTCTTCACAAACTTCCTCACGTCTTCGCCTGGTTTTGACATCTGTGGAAGAGACGGAGTAACTCCTACCTTCAAAGTCTTGCTTACACCATTGTGGAGGAGTGCTGGAAGGCAAAGATAACCATTGTAGAATGTTGATATTTCCTTTAAAAGGCGGATGGTTTGCTGACGCTGCCATCACTGTAGTCGCTGGCTTCGACACAGGACCCATCATCTTGGAGCGTGCAGTGGATGCTTTACCATGAATGTTTTGTTTGACACTTTAAAAAGTGTTAGAGAGATGAGGGGGTGAAGTGAAGGACACATACAGCAACTGAGGTCCTAAGGCGTCTTTGCACGCATTCTCACCTACAACGACAATCTAAACACTTGGTACGGTTTGCACTACCTCTATTTTCTCTCACTTGGTGCCCTCAGCACTAGCTGCGGCGTTTCTCTTGCTCTCATGCTCTTTGGCTGGCATTTTTTAACAAACCAAAGCTCAATTATTCTCTCTGTCTCCCCAAAAGAATGTATTCAGCCTCATTTAATGCTGTCTTCTATCAAATGCGAAGTCTCAAGCTCCTACGTCGGTGGCAGCTGAAGGCGAATTCGTCTCCGTCATGACCTCTAGCCTATCGTTTGCGACATACTCCCTTCTCGGTTCGATCAAAGCGCACATACTTCAGACAGAGAAAGCTTTCGGTTCTTTGCAGCAGAAGATTTGGAAATGACATTTGTGCTTGATTCTGTTCCATTCCCGTGCTCCATGGGCAAGTTATTGACAAATGAACTGACACCGCCACGAATCATCTGGAGAAGTTTTGTATTGCAGTTATCCTTACTGTAAGCGAATATAAATGTCGGAAATAACATTACACCGAATGCCCTGTAGTAACTGCCTGTCTACCCTCTGGTCCCTGGTTCTCAGACTTTAAGGGGAAGTTG